AACAGCCTGGACACTCACTCTTGAGGGGTCATTAGGAGCCAAGTGGAAGACCATGAGAAGGCCGGGTGACAGAGGGCCTGGAGTGTAATCCCATGGTGCCTAGCCTATGCAGGCCCCACTTTTCACCTTCCTAAAGTAGAGAGAACCTTGCTAGCTATCCCATCTTCCTTGGGAAGTGTGATGAGAAATCAAGTCCTATATGAAGAACTGGTTGGGATCCAGGAAATTGAGTTGAATCGGGTGAGAAACTAGAGAACTTCAAAGTTCTCTTGGTCCAGCCCCCTGCCTCTGGCAGTCTCATTCCTAACCAGCTCAAATGACCCAAGGCTCTGTAATTTTGCCACATGGCTGGGCCACCTGGTCTGATATCATCCCCCTGTAAGAGTGGGCAAGCCCTGCCCCACACCTGATGCCGCTCCAGGCCTGGCCCTGGCCCCGGCCCTGGACCTGGGGTGGGAGGAGGCTGTTTGTGCTCATGATCCTCTCCCTCCCTCCAGCTGCTGTTCCTGACCGGCCTCTCCCTCATCATTGGCCTGAGGAGGACGTTCTCCTTCTTCTTCCAGAGGCACAAGCTTAAGGGGACCGGCTTCTTCCTGGGGGGTGTGGTCATTGTCCTCCTGCGCTGGCCTCTCCTGGGCATGTTTCTAGAAACCTATGGATTCTTTAACCTCTTCAGGTGAGTGCAAATCCCTTTGCCCTGGGTGGGACACCGGGGCCTCTGAGTAGCCAGGGTCAGCCCACCAGGTTTTGGTAGCATGATCAGCAGGGTGTGCAGAAGCTGGACTTATCCCCCAGGAGATGGGAACCACGGAAAGATTGAAAATGGGGAGAAGCATCAGGTAGACACTTGGAAAGGCCTCTCCAGCAGCAGGCTGAAGGAGAAATTGAAGTGATCTGCCTATCCACCAGCACACGTTGAGCCCCTGCTGTGTGCCCGGCACTGTGCCCGTCATCAGGGAGGACACACAGGGCCCATGCTCAAGCTCAATGATCCAGGTGGGGAGGAAGGGCAGCAAGCAAACATCTGTTAGGCCCTGAACATGCACCAGCACCATCAGCATCTCACTTCGTCATCTCCACAGCCCATTGTGGGTTGTCCTCTATAGACAAGGAAACCAACACTCAGAGAGGCTGCCCCTGCCCGAGGTCTCACAGGTAGTGTGCAGAGGATGTGAACTTGATCCAGCTGTCCCTGGCTCCTGGCTCCTCATCCCTCGGCCTGTCCCGTGTCAGCCTGGGCCTAGTGAAAGACACGGTGGGACTCACTGAAGATGTGCAGCCACTGTCAGGGCCAGAGTGTGTCCTACGGGAAGCAGGACCTGAGACAGGCCTTGAGGGATGGGCCAGGTCTAAGAGAAGACTGGAGGGCACTTAGGGAGAAGGAAAGGGTCGTAGCGGAGGTGGGGGTGGCAGGGAAGGCTCCCAGTGTCTCTGTGGTACCATGGAGAGAACAGGGGGGTAATGAGGGCTGGAAGAAGCTTGGCCTATGAAATCCTGGGGAGCAGCCGGGCTTCTGAGGTTCTCACAGGAGCCCTGAGTCTGCTCAGTGTGGCCTTGAAGCCACCCTGATTAGCCGAGTGCTGAGACCCCATAAACATCACATAGTGTGGCTTCTGGAAATAAATTTTTCTCACACAGGTTCTGCCATCCATTTAATATTTGCCATTTATTTAATATTCAGACATTTATTTAATATTCAAACATTTGCTCAGAGTTAAATATATAAAAAGCACATACTATGTGCCCAGTGCAGGGCTAGGTCTGGGGACATGGTGCTAAACAGGGAGAAACTTCCTAAGGACTTGCAGTTCAGAAAGGAAGACACACTCTGACAGCAGTCACTCAGACCAGGTGTTGAGACCTTAGGGCCATAAGCGGGACCATGGCAGATTTAGTAGTTCAAACCCAAAATCAACCTGGACAGAGATATTCTACAGCAGCATTGTGGGGGGTAAATCAGAGCAATGAGAGACCCCAAGGATGCAAGTGCACCTCAGTGAACTGGGACCAAGAAAAGAAGAGGACTAAGGCAGGATTCAAATTTCCGACTCCTGACCTCTCCGCTACACACAGGGCTCCCTTCCCACTGCAGCCTCGTGCCCCATTGAGGGGTCACACATGTGTCCCCAGGGGACCCTGTAGGGTGTGATTGATGAGAGTGGGAGGTGGAGGCAAGAGGGAGAATGGAAGTGAGCACAGGCCCCAACAGCTAGCCCTACCTGCAGCCCAGGGGACCTGCAGCAGGTGGTGACACCCTTCTGGAGAGAAGACAGTGGCAATAATAAAAACAAACATTTCCTGAGCATTTCCTTGTATAAGGCCCTAGGATATAGATACTATTACTAACCACATTTTACAGCTGGAAACAGATCCAGAGAGATTAAGGAATTTGCCCAAGTTCACACAGTGCTGGTAAGTGGTACAGTCAAGATTAGAACCCAAGGAGTCTCACCCCAAGGGCCTCCATACTTAACCACTCCACTTGGCTGCCTCTAAAGCACTGAGGGTGCAGAACCAAGCCTGGTCCTATGCCTGGGTGCCTCTCTCTTGGGAGGAAAGCTGGAGCCTTGCTGTGGACCTCAGCCTTGCTCCCCTCTGTCCACTCCTCCCAGGCCACCACTGACCCCTTCCTCCACCTTCTGTTCCTAGGGGCTTTTTCCCTGTTGCCTTTGGCTTCCTGGGCAATGCCTTTAACATCCCCTTTTTGAGTGCGGTAAGTGCATCGTGTATGTGGCTTGGTGGTGGGGCCTGCGGGGGGAGGAGCAAACGGAGTTGGTAAAATTGCTGCCCAGGTGCAGGGGACCTTTCCCACCTCCCCTTGCACTCCCTTCCCCAGGGTGGCCTGCCTCAGTTCCTCTTCCCTCCCTTACCCACCTCCATTTGACAAGAGCAGATGGGGCTGAGGGGACCCGTGAGCAGCTGTGCCTAAGAGACGGGCATAGAGGATGGTGGTTATTAATAGCTCCTTATTAGAGCCACAGAAGCAGAGACTCAGATAGTCTAGGTGACCAGCCAGAAAGTGGCAGAGATTTCTGTGGAGCTGGCTGAGTCTGGGTCTCAGACACGGAGATGATGTGTGACAGTTAACGACAGCAGGAAAAGCAGTGGCAGATTCTGTCCTCTCCTTGGGGCAGACATGGGGCAGTCATCCCCAGTGCTTGCCCCCACCCTTCTCTGAAGCACCTGACCGAATACGGGCTCTCCGAGAAGCCCAGCGAGGCCCCCCAGCCAGTCTGCCAGCTGGGCACATCCCCGCACCCCCCTCCACACCTGCGCTTGGCACAGCCCCGACCCCTCAAGGCCAGCTTGGTAATAACTTAGATATTGAGTCTGCTCTCCACTCTTTGTCTTCAGTAATGATTCTTGGCTCCCACAGCTGTTCCAGGGGCTTCAAGGCACCAGCTCAATGGTCTGAACAGCAGAGATGAGCTCCTTGAACTTGGATTATTGGTTGAGGGGGCTGCAAAGGAAATGGGGCCACCCTCTCAAGCCCGCACCCTGCACTGACTCATGTACCTGACACACCCAAGTCCAGAAGGAAGGATGGCGCTGGGTGACTGACCTCAAATTCCCAAGTTGAATCAAGAGGCCATCAGGATCATTGGCGGCAGAGATCCAGGGCCACACAGATATCGGACTGGGGCTGGTACCACATCCCATTCTGTATTTATGAAGGAAAATGCAAAGATTAAATCCCAAGCTGTGAGTGTGTCTGAGACTCAAAGTCTGTCTCTAGCCTGTTAAGGCCATCTCCTGACTCAGGGCAGGCTGACGCACACATCATTCCATATAGCGAGCGAGGGGCAGGCCTGCCCTCACTGGCTCATTTTTATCCTGGTGAGTGACATATCGTGTTTGCAAGCCCCTGTTAGCAGGAGGCATTACACAGGAGATGGGTATAAATCCTGCGTACTGCGGGGAGCGCTTCTCGGCCGTTAGGTGGACGTCTGCACAGCGCACCTACCGGGTAGAGCCTGCGCTGGCGGAGTTTGCTGTCTGAGGGTGAAGACATGGCCTCTGCCCTCAGACAGCCCCAGTCTGACAGAAGAAATAGCCTCTGTTCTAGGGAGCCTCTCATCCACAGGTAAAGAGTATTACTGCATGCCCAAGAAAAAGACGAGAGTCTATTGCAATGGATACATTTAGTAAATATCTTTGAGGGCCCTCTATGTCTGTACTGAGCAACAAAGTGGGTGCTGAGGGTACAAAGGGAAGGAGATCTGTCCCTACCTTTAACACAGGGTACACAGCAATTACAAAACGCTGTGATCACGGGTGCCAAAGACACAGAGGAGGGAGTAGCACCTTCCAACATGCCATTGCCTGGAAGTCCTTCTCTGCATTCCCTTAGCACTGCCCAGGTACATACACCTTCTAGAGCTACCACTGGAGCCTGCTTTCTTAGACAGCTGCTTGCAGATCTGTCTCGCCCACCTGACCGTGTCTTCTTTACCTCAGAGCCCTGCGTGGAGTAAGTGCTCAGTAACTGTCTCGGGAAGGAAGAGAGGAAAAAGGAAGGCACCTGCCATCACAGATTACAGCCCAGGAGCCCCCTTCTGCTCTGAGCTGGGCTCATGCAGGGAACCCAGAGCTCCGGGTCCCCTGTGGCCTTCTCCTCTCCCTCGTCCCTTTCATGGTGCTCACTTCACAGTGGGTGTATTGGTGGCTCTTGTCTGGAGGGGGACCAATTCATACTGACCCCTCACCACATTCTTCCTCAAATAGTCCTTTTCAACATTGATTGGAGCATCGTGGTCTCCTGCTGTGTGATCTGGGGTCGGGGGGCAGAACAGAAAGAACTCAGAAAGCCAGCCTTGGAGGGTTCTGGAGGGGAAGAAGAGGCTGATTTCGGTCATGAGAGCCAGGAGGCGGGAGACAGCGGTCTACCTCCAGAGGGAGACAAAGGGGGGCCTATGCCTGGAGACGTCACCCTGGGCTTTATAAAAGGGCCAGGGATGTCATCAGAGAGCTGGCAAGAGCGCGGCCAGCTCCCTCCCTACGGGTGTTCACCCACCTAAGTAGTGTCATCACCAGAGACCCTGTGGAGCAGCCACCCTGCCAGGACCCCGGACAGGACCCAGGACAGAGCCAGGTAGGCACACTGTGGCATCCACACTTTGGGGAGGGTTCTGTCCAGGCCCAGGGAGGCTCCCCAGCTGGGAACAGGAACTTAGTTCCAAGACTGTTGTGTCCCAGGCAGGCAAAGGGGCCTGATCAGTTGGCCAGATTATTCTGGGGTATCTGGGTAAATACATTGACTTGCATTGTATTTGTGAAGTCGGGACCCTCTCAAGGACTCCTCTTACTGTGGCAGGAATAATTGCAATGAATGAAATGCGATTAATTGTAATTATTGAATGAACTTTGTGGCTGGGATTAGAAGCCACAGGAACTTTTGGAGGGAGCCGGGGAACCACTCAGGGCTCATGAGCTCAACGGGTCTCTTCTGAGCAGTTCTCCCAACTTATGCCTGGCAAATACAAACCCAGCTAAAGAGCCCTGCATGAGCTGCTACCCTGCTGACACCCTGCTAGACCCCTGCACTAAGAAGGTCAACCTAGAACAAAGCCATCCCAGGATAGAAGCCATCGCACTTCAAAAGCTTTCTGGCCATGCCTGAAATTTCTCTGTTACTAGGCACGAAAGCCCCTGAGATAGGGGAGCCACAAAAATTACCCACAGCAGGACAGCCACTGTGGCCCCTTGGAAGCTGATGATTCTTTTCTAAGCAATTAATTTCTACCACATCTGTTAGGAGTTGGGAGAAGAGGTGTGTGTGTGTGTGTGTGTGTGTGAGAGAGAGAGAGAGAGAGAGTATGTGTGTGTGAGATTGTCTGTATGGTGGGAACAAGTGGTGGGGAAAACCACACCACTCACATGGCACCACGGCAAGTGCTATCTATGATGGGGGTGGAGGTGATGGGGTGAGGCCAGAGGAGCACAGAGGGGGCCCTGCCATTCCAACCACACAGCCCACATACTGCTCCCTTCCTCACTCATCCTCCTGCTTTTGCAGAGCCGCCAGAATGCTCCATCTGAAATGCAGGTCTACACGCATTCCTCTCTGTCTCAGACCCTCTGGGGTGAAGCCCCTGTGTGGCCCCATCACTCCCTCCAGCAAAGCCTGCCCTCCTGGCATGCTTCAGGGACTGCAGTTCCCTCCACACCCAGCCCTGGCTGCCCTTCCTGCCTTCCGTAGGAGCCTTTATTCATCTGCCTAACTTTTGCTCAGAAACTCAGCTCAGGGTCCACGCCCTGCAGGAAACCCACCTGGGCCCTCCAGGACAGGCTCCCATAGTCTCCAAAGACCCCTGTGCACTCACACACCTCCAGCCTGTCATTTACGGTGTTATTTGTATGTGGTCTGCTTAGGACTCAATTTCTTGTGCTAGACTCGAGATGAGGGTTGAGCAGCTGACAGCAACCCTGAGTCTTATGTAGCACCTGTGCACCCTAACCCGGCACAGCACCCAGGCAGTATGCAAGGAGTAATTTCCAAATTAAACTGTGTGTGCACAGTCTGAAGCCACGAAAAATGATTTTATGCTCTTCTCTCCAATAAATCAATCCCTCTAATCCCTGCCCCACCTTAATGCAGGTGCAGAAAGCTGTGGTCCGGGATTCAGGGTGTCACAGAATCAAAGTCTGCAAGGGTAAGTGGCCATCTGCGGGGACAGTTGGTGGCCACTCTGACCCAGTGGTCTCACTTTGCAGGGGGAGCACCAAGCCCCAGAGGTGGGGGTGACTCACTCCCGTCTCTCAGAGAGGGCTGGCAGACCTGGGGCCAGATCCAAGAGCTTCTGATCTCACTTCAGAATTCCTTCCCTCCACCCCATGCCTGGGTCCTGAAGGGAGCAGGAAGGGGACAGGGAGTGGGGTTATGGAGGGGGCTGAAGGGCACACGTGGTGGTCCTGACCGCCCACCGGCCCCTCACACGACCCCAGAGTGGCTCCGGCCTTCAGAGCCGGGTCCACGCCCTTTTGGCTCCACGCCCTTTTGGCTCCACCTGCAGCTCTCCTGCCTCCGCATCATTTGTTTTTAATCATGTTTGTTGGACACTCTCCAAGTGTCTGACGACTTTTTTGAAGAGAAATTAGACTTGGGAGCTGGAAGAGATGGGAGGGGGACAGGAAAGGAGATTCAGAGTTGTGGCCACTTTCTAATCTGAGCAGTCCTGCCCCTCTCACCAATAGGGATCCCTCCTTCTTCCCTATCCTGCGTGGCCTCCAGGAAGCCCTCCCTGATGATCCTCACCTAGCACGAGGTCAGCTTTGACTACACTGCGCAAGTGGTCTCAGTCCCATCTCCACCATATGTCTGTACAGACTCATCCCTCCGCTGGGGCCCCCAGGGCAGGGGCATCTCCTCCCCTCACACTGGGCTGTGCCCCAGCCCCCAGCCCAGGCCTGTGCCTGACCTAGTCCTGCTTCCCTCTCTCTGTCTCGGCTTCAGGACACTTCTAGGACCTGTGCCTTCTCACCAGGATGAGCCTACTAGCTTCTTGGCAGCTGATGCTTTTCCTCTGTGCTATCTCCTTCAGGGAAACCTTAGAAAAGGTGGTGCCCATGGAGAATCCTAGATCCACCGGTATGTGTTGTCTGGGGAAAAGGGCGGAAGGGAGCAAGTGAGTTGTTTCAAAACGAAACTTACCACATTTTTCAGATTATGGCTAGGGGGTTGATATGGGTTAAACAATGTGTTTAGTGGAAACCCAAAACTGGAACATGCAACTCCTCTGGCGGCCCCATTAACCTTATAGGTTAGGGTTGGCTTACCTGCTATGGGCGGCAGAAGGCTCCCCCTGGTCCAGGTGCTTGCTGACCACCATGCTCCTTCCTGGTTTTCTCACAGTGTGTGCTCTGCTCCACGCTAGTCACCCCTCTGAGCAGATCTGTTGGGGAGGAATTTACTATGCAAGTTTCTTTCATCAGTGTCCTCAGTCCCATTATGGGGCATTTGAAAAAACAGAACCTAAACAAAAGGACAGATCCTGTCAACCTCGTCAGCTTATGATGGCACGGATGAGCTACAGAGACTGAGGCCCCGAGATGTAAGGATGCTCCCCAGTCACTCAGCCAAAGGCTGCAGAAGCCAGCACGTGTGGGAGCTCCCCGAGAGGATGTCTCTGAGTGGCACCAGAGAGAGCAGCGCTGCCCCCACGCCAGGAGCTGTGGGTATATAACACTGCTGGGTTCAGCTTTCTGGGCACACTGGAAGCAGGGCTTAGCCTCCTGGGACTGCAGCTCCTCTGGCTACGGGACCGGGGGCACGGAGCATATCTGCACATGTGGAGTCACTGTGCCTGTAAAATATTCGGAAACAAAGAGAACATGGCCCCAGTGTCCTTTGCCAAGAGTGTTTTCTCTCCTGGGATCAGACGTCCTTTCTGGGTGAAAATGACCTCACCACTGTCCCGGGGACATTGCGTTTGCCGACTGTGTTTTGGCAAAAGGCTTTAGAGGAGGCCACAAAAGGCGGCCCCAGAAGTGCTTTTGCTGCTGGGAGAGCGGGTGTGACTGGGAATGAAACCACCGCCCCTTCCCATCTCAGCCAGGCCCCGAGTGGAGTGGCGTGGGAGGGCCCTCCTAGGAAGACTGTCGTGAATTCTGGGCCACACCCACACCCCTCTTCTCCAAAGCACGCCAGGCCATTGAGGAGTGGGCCTCACAGCCAACCACCCCTGCAACACGCACCCACTCACACACATTAGGGGCCGCATTTCCGCTAATCTCTTGCCAGGACTGGCTGGGTCGTTGTGTACTCAGAGCTCATTGCACTATTTTACTGCCAAAATTACAGTGCACTTAGTGAGTCTCGTATGTGGAATGCCTTCCAAGTTAGCCTTGTTAGCCCTCAGTATAAAGAGGAGAGATTATCCCCAAAATGTGGGAAGTGAACTGGTTAGGGTGACCCTGATAATTTTCTGGTTTTCACTGAGTCCTTATATAGCTTATTTAGGGGGCTACCATTATCGGGGGTTGTGGGGGCACCATGATCTTAGCCTCACTTTCTTGGTTTCTGTAACTACAAGATTTCGTTAGCTTTTGTGCGGTTAACGAGTGTTTACTGAGGCCCTCTGATGCGTGAGGCCCCCTTGCCAGCGCTCCGAGCGGCAAGGAGATGAGTGAACACGGCCCCACCTGCCCAGGGACACACCGTCCAGTCGAGGAGCCTGACGCAGAAACCGGGCAGAAGGCCAGCCAGTGAGCCGGGCTGAACTTCTAGCAGATATCTGAGTTTTCTTTATTTCCAGGCTCTACCCTGTTTGATTCCTAAAAGGAAGTAACTTCTTTTTAAAAAAGATTTCATTTATTTATTTTTAGAGACAGGGGAGGGAGGAAGAAAGAGAGGGAGAGAAATATTGCCGTGACAGAAACACCAATCAGTTGCCCCTTACACCTGACCAGGCACTGAACCAGCCACCCAGGCACATACCCTGACCGGGAATTGAACTGGCAACCTTTTCCTTTGCGAGTGGATGCCCAACCAACTGAGCCATACCGGTCAGGGCAGGAAGTAATTTCATATAAAAGATAGTAAAGATAATTCTGGGAAACATTTACAATCAAAGCTGTGTTGAAAGCAGGAGGAACAAATGGCCTAACTACCAAGCTCAGATGCAGGTGGTCCCCGCTGGCACTGAGCTCTGAGTCTCCTGGAGGCCAAGGAACAAATGGAAGGACAGGATGAGGCTTCAGGCAGGTGTTCAAGGAGGCTCTCCTGGCTTGGTCTCACCCTATGACTCTGTCCTAGGCCAGCAGCTCAGCCCCCTGCCGCTTTTGGCCACCTGGGAGCAGAGCCCACTCTGCAGAGTCCGAGAGAGTGAAGTGGGGTCCCAGAGGCCAGCCTCGTGCATGCCCCGCAGCCGCCTGATCCCAGCCTCTCGGGGCGCAGTGCTGGTGCAGCGGGAGAAGGACCTGCCTGCCTACAACTGGAACTCCTTCGGACTGCGCTATGGCAGGCGGAGGGCAGCGCCCCAGAACATTGCCCAGGGACAAGGGACTTCCAGCCTGGACTGACAGGGCCTCTGGGCACTCAGAGTGGGAGAAGGGGGCAGGGAATGGGAGGGGGCCTCGAGTTTCCGGTACTGAATCAATAAAGGAAATGCCACCAACTTGCCCACCTGTGTGTGATTTGTGGCTAACTTTTGCAAGCAGTGCTGATAAGACTGTTCCCCTTCTCTCCTCAAATGGCTCTTCAGCTGGTTCTGAGATGATTTTAATATTATCAAGGGCAGTGATCTTCAAACTAGAGGTGGTGAAGGACCAGGTTGTTTTTTCCCAGGGCAGATCAATACTTCACACACACACACACACACACACACTCCCTCTCTCTCTCTCAAAAAAAGTGAAAAATTTAAAAATAACGAAAGAAAAGCCCAAATTAGATGCTGCTTGGGTGTTTCAGCAATATCACATTTCTAGCCCAGATGTCTTGATTTTGGACTTCCCAAAACCCAGAACTATGAGAAATAACTGTTTGCTATTTAGGTTCCCCAGACAAGGACATGTTACATAAGTAGTATTCCATAAATTCCATAGGAAAAGAACTTAGCAAAACAAAACTGGTGATGCAGCCAGATAACAACTGAGGTTTGGGAAACTGAGGCCTGCACGAGAAGGTTCCAAGGCCTGTGCTGGGTCGGGAAGCAGCTGGAGTTGGAGGAAGCAGTGTGTGTGGTGGAAGCTCTGCCTCCCAAAGACCCAACAGCAAACTTGCCGATGGAAAGGAATCCCGTAATTGCCCCAGGCCAGTTCCTGCAGCTCCCAGTGGAAGCCACTCAGGGGATCTGATCCTGTAAATATGCAAGATCTGGTCCTTGGATGGGGAGCTACATCCTAGAAGAGGCTGCCAAAAACTACTGTTCTTCCTACCAGCGCTCAGCCAGGCTAGACCAGGTGCGGTGGCAGCAGCAATGGCCTCATCAGAAGACCCCAGGGACCAGAGAGCCAGCCCCAAAGTCACGGGCCTTAAGACAGATCTGGGCAGCAGTCCAGGCAAGAAGTGGGCCCGCCATTGAAAGGCTGTCCTCACAGCCCATTATCAACTGTGCTTGCGGGAAACAGCTCTCCCTGGCAGCATCCCCATGCTGCCCCAAGCCCCTAGTTCCAACCTAGGACCTGTCACCCCTCCAGTGAAGACCTACATCTTGCTCTGTGGGGACAGCCAGCCCCATCTGACCCAAGAGGCCCGCTGGGTGGTGGGCGCCTTGCCCAACTTCATCCCCCAGTCAGTCTACTCTGCCCCCCAGGACACTCCTGAAGCCAAGGGGGCCCCTTGAAGACGGTGCCTATGAGGTCTTCAGTTTGGGGAACAGTCATGGGCTCGCTCAAAGCCTTTTCCTCCTGGGTCTGTTGTAATGCAGACGAACTGGAAGAGCCTGACCATGGGAGGACGGGGTCAGCAGGCCAGGCTCAAGGTCCAGGGGCTGCCATTCCCAGAGCCTATGCCTTTTTGCCAGGACCTGCAAAATGCCAGGAGGCTTACATTCTTGGAGGAGGGGTATGAGGTATGGGGAGGGGAGGGAAGAAGGGTTAAACAACCAAATAAAAATTATTTTGAACAGTGACCCCCAAAAATCGAGTTTCCATAAAGTTTTCTAAATGCTATCCTCTTCATTCTTAGATTTGCAGGGGCACATGAGCCACAGCCCACACTGTGCAAATCCCTGAGCTAGGCCAGTGAGAGGCGGATGGCTTAAGTGCCTTCCCCTTCCCCAGGGAAGTTCTCAGCCAGTTGGACAGCTTGATCTGGAAGATGATGCCAGTTGCTGTCCTGTCGACTGAGGCTTAAATGTCACCCCATCTTCATAGTCAGATCTGTGCTGGGTGCTCAGCCCCAAGACACAGAAGTACCATTCTGTGTGCAAGAGATGTCAACGAGCACCTGGGTTATCCAATCCCCTCCCGACGGGAGTCCTGGATGGGTCAGGTACTTTACACATATCGCTCACTCCTCTGCATGCTTATAACCACCCAGGGAGCTGGCATGGTATACCCACTTCACGGGTAAAAGACCCTGAGGTTCAGAAAGATAACTCTCAGCCAGTGAGAGGCAAGGCTACTCAGGGTTCTGACTCCAGAGCTGGGCTCCCCCACTGCACCGTCATGCCTCTCTGAAATGGCAGGGTTTCACCTCAGCCGTGGTGGCCGTTAGGAACGGCATGTCTGCTTTGTGGGGACATTTCTGCGGGCCCCAATAGTTGGGAAGTTGGAATTTCTGGAGGGCAGAGTAGAGTTTGTCAGTAGGGAAACTCCAGAAAAATCCCTCCTCCTGCCCGCAAGAAAACCCAGCTGTTACTTGACAGCAACAAGCTACCTCTGCATGGTCTAGGATGAAAACATTCTTTCCCACAAGGGTTATGGGGATGCTTACCATCCTCTGAAGCACCACAGTATTCCACCAATCACGGAAACCAGAACTCCATAGATTGGAGTCAGAGCTTGTTGCTATGGCAATGAGATAGGCTGCCATGGAAACAAGACAACCTGTCCCGGCCCATCTCTACCCTGAAACAGTTCCCAGGACCTCTCAAATTACCGATACCGCTGTGAGCTCCTGTCATCACATGGCATGACAGGGGGGCTGTTTCTATTTGGAAGGGCACTGCATCCCCTCAAGCACCCTGGGGTATCTCCACCTCAGGGAGAGGGATCGTAAACCCAACACCCATTTCGTTAAGTGAATTATCTCCTGCTCCCTGGAGCAGTCTGTCCTTGGTGAAGACTGTGTGGTAGGAAGAGGCTGATGGGTCTGCGAAATCCACTCTTAGCCAGCCTCATTTTACAAAATTCCCGGTGACCCCCCTCATACCCTTCCTCAGAGTCTAGGTTAGACACATGGGAGGCGGAAGCATGTGAGTGCACGCGTGTGTCGTTTTGGGGGCAGGAGAGCGAAACGCGTTCTCTGGCATGAGAGGCGCACTGTGGGTGTGTGAAAGGGGTAACCACGAGAAACTGTGCACATGTCCACAGACATGTGTCTGGGTGACCCCGTGTGGGGGGTGGGCCCTTCTAACTACATTTTGGGCCTTATCAGCTCCCACTGCAGCCCAAGTCTCTCCAGGACTCAGCAGGCAGCGGGGGTGGGGGGGGGAGCTGGGTCTGCCTGTCCCATGCTCCTTGTCCCAGGACTACTGCCTGTGAGACTCTGGGCTTTGCAGTTCTTGGACCACGTCTTTGGTTTCACGATGCTCCAGCCTGGCTCTGAGCCCGCCCCCTGGACTGGAGGGAGGGTGCAGGGCAGGTTGGAGGCTGTGAGGGACCATGAGTGTTGCTGGCACCAGGGACTCCCATTCCCCCTCCTTAGACTGCCTGAGTGGGCTGAGAGCTAGGGCACAAGGTTCTCCTGCCCCAGCCCCAGTGCCTCCCTGAGTTCTCCATGTCATTACTCCTTCCGGAGGGTCCACCCACACAAGACAACCCTGGCTGCTTATTAAACTGCATTCTGGGTCTTTCTTTTCCTCTCAAGGCCCCATCTGCTCTCTCTGCAGAGCTCAGTGCCCCCATCTAATTGAAAAATTCCTCAGAGGAGCCAGCTGGAGCCTAAGCATGAAGCGGGGAGAGGCACAGGTGGAACAAAGCCACGTCCATTTTTTTTTATCTTCTGCTTCCCCATTTCCTTTTTATGAACAGAAGCAGGACTGAGCCAGAGATGTTTCGCTTCCCAACTCCAAGCCTCAATAAGTCCAATTCCCACCTCTTTACCTCCTTCCCTAGGGCAGTGACCATGGCAACTGTTCTCCCCGAGACGAAGGGTGGCCAGGCACAAATCCATGCCTGTTTCAAAGCAGCACGAATCAGGCTTTTCCTGCAACCAGCATTCTCTCCCCCGGCCCTTGTCTTCTGCTGGCCACTCTCAGACTTCATCTAAACACTGGATCTTCCCAGGGTCATCGTACAGCAAAATGGGATTTGGGGCCATTTTTAGAGAAACCCTGAGCACCACTTGTCTAGAGACACCACGTCCCTCCCCCACCAAGTCCCTGCCCCCACTCCACACGCCCAGCCATGGGATCTGAAGAGAGATGCAAGCACCAGGCTCCAACTGGATTTATGTATCTCCTGACGTCGTGGGTCTGCTCCACTGGGAAAGGGCAAGTACCACGCAACCCTTCCCTCTGCGTCTCCTTGCTTCACTTCCTTTGACCTCGTGGTGACGCAGCCAGGGGCCCGGACGTGGGATCCCAGGGAGCCTCTGTGAGAAAAACTGGACCCCAGGGCTGAGGGGACTTGGGAGATGACCTGATAAGGGTCCCTACCCACTTTCCCTCCCACCCCACAGCCTAGGTCCCTGGAGAGGAGAGCCTCTCGGGTGGTTCCACCTCCCCTGCAGCCTTCTCCCTACCCTGACACTAGAAATGGCCGAGTAACAGGTCAGAAAACACAGGGCCCTAAAATCCCAGAGCTCTGTTGCAGGTCAGAGCTTACCACCTCACGGGCATTCACTCTGCTGGGCAGTGCTGGCTGCTAGGTATTTCTTCCTTAGAACAGACTCTCCTGGCCACTCCTTGGGCCTCAGGCTGCACAAATAGGCCTCCCTGGCTCTGCTTCCCTTGGAAAATCCTCCCAGGGCTTTATGACCCTCTGCAACCGAATGGAGAAGGTGGACCAAGAGAAGCACTTGAAAACAGCAAGGAACGGCTGCCTCTTGCCCAGGCTCTGAGCTGGAATGTCAGGAAAAACACGAGAGATTGTTGTTTCTGGACCTGTTACCCTCTGAGGGGGTGATTCCCTTTCCTCTCCCCTGGTCCCCTGCAACACTGGCGTATAATTTGACTGTACCTCACATTGTTCTCTCTCTGTCCCGGTGCGGCAATTCACACTTATTCACACTTGGCCCACTGCTGCTCTCGGGGCCAGCATCACTGCACACACTGGCAGGAGGCAGGAGGCAGGAGGCAGGGCTGTGGGGAGGGGCAGAAGCCTGGGTCCACAGAGGGGGCCTAGACCTGCCAGCAGGACCCCTTGGCCCTGCTGTTGCCATAGAAGAGAGCTGACTATTGACCTCGAACGTATGTGAGGGTCTTGTGCACTGCACTGGATGTCTAAACTACAACTGG